GCTAGCGGTGTACCAAATTTGAACGCAATCGGCCCAGCCGTTCCTGAGATCTGGAAGCGGCATTCTGCACGTGCGCACGTGCAAACGGGGTCCAAACTGACTTTTGCACGGCACCCTACTAACTGGTCCCCAACCGTGTACCAAATTTGAGCGCAATCGGCCCAGCCGTTCTCGAGATCTGGAAGCGCCACCTGCACGTGCGCACGTGCAGTAGCACCTTAACCGCAACACATGGGAATGCATTGTCTGGTGGGTGCCTACCTGTATGCCAAGTTTCAGCGAAATCGCCCCAGTAATTACCGAGTTATTAAAATGGGAACAAATTTGACACCTCTTATTGTTGTATTTTGCACGTGCACTGGGAGTGACCCACATGCATCGAGAGTATCCTATTTTTGGTAGAAGGGATGCTGCTACCCTACAAAAATTACCGCAAGTCAATCGCCCAAGCGGCTGCTGAGATATGAGCCTCTCAAAATCACTACTTTTGCAAAGCAGCTTGAACACCCTTGACTTTTCACGTGGCACGTGCCACGACGGTCACTGAGGTGTAACAAAAGTAGTCAATTACGGGGTACAAGGGATGGGGCTACCCAGCAAAAAAGACCGCAGGCCAATCGGTCCAGCGGTTGCTCAGATATAAGCCTCTCAAAAGCGTTACAGGCCGGGCCGGGCCGGGCCGGGCCGCTCATACTGAGATTTTTCCGTTATATTGAAAAGACTCGCTTCGCTCGCTGCGCTCGCTCGCTCGTAATAACCGAATGAGCATTCCCGCCAAAATACCAAGCACATATACTTGTATGACATTTTTGGGTTTAACTTGAATTCCTGTGGTTTTAATTTGAAATCATGATATTTTTTAATGAAATTCCCTCGTTTTTATTTGTTGTCCTGCGGTTTTAATTAGAAGTCCTCTTGCTTAAATTTGAAGTCCTATTTATTTTATTTGAAGTCCTTTTATTTTAACTTGATGGTAAAAAGGTGTAGTCTATTTATACACCAACAGTATGCATTTCAGGTGGAGGTGTACCAAGTCCTGCCTCGCACTTTGCCCAAATCAGCGCATACCGTATGTCTGTCGGCTTCTTAGAAAAATGACGATATATCTGCGGATAGCTTCAGAAATAAAAACACTTCAGGAATAGCGTTTACGTCCTGTAAATATTAATAACTGTAATGTAAATAACCAGCTTTACTTGAAAGTATAGATATGTTGGGATATACCTAAGGATGATCGGTGAGACAAACCGGAGCCATCGGAGACCGTGTAGGAGACAGGCTGGGCTATTTGTGCACCTCTGCGGGGGTCACTGAAAATAGGTCAGAGCGAGACGGTACTGCCGTGAAAATGATTACACACCCTTTCGGTGTGGATATCGTGGCAAAGGGCATTTTTACTTTACTAATGGGCCACGGTGAGGATGTCCGATTAAAATCTAACCATTTAGGTACGGCGACCCGTAGTTGTTTCTGTACGTACATGAGCCCCTATTTTAACCATCTGCCCTGTTGGCAGTGCCCAGTAATAATTGTGTGCAGGGATATCAACCGCGGGTCCCAATCCAGTGTATACGAGCAACTGATGGCTTCTGTATATGTGTTCTGATAGTTTATTGTGGTTCCCTAGAAGGCTGGAAGGGTGCTGACACATTTTACTGAGCATTCGCACGAATTGTACCGGCTACCGGCCAGCTGGCAGGATGGACTCCAGCTCCGCGTGCGGCACTCGAATGCAGGCGGCCAAATGGCCGAGCGACGCGTGCCGCCGCCGGGCCGATGGCGCCTGACGGGCTATCAGTGACTCGATCACCGGGCAAGGTGGCCCGGCGCGGCGGACGGCGCTCGGCGCGCCCCGCGCCCATGGGCGCCGCCACCGGGGGGGGGGGGGGGCGGGGGGGACGCGTCCCCCCCACTCTCAGAATGGAAGGGGGACGTCCCCCCCAAACTCATTACGGAGCGAGCGAAGCGAGCTTAGTCTTTCGTAGATAACGGAAATTTCTGAGTATGAGCGGCCGGCACGCTTTTGCGAGGGTTCTATCTCAGCAGCCACTTGACCGAATTACATGCCATAATTTTCGGTAGGGTAGCTTTATTCCTTCTAACAAGTGTTGGACTATTCCCGATGCATGTGGGAACCCCTGATGCACGTGCCACGTGAAAAATGAAGAGGTGTCAGTTTTGTAACAATTGCAATATCTCGGTAACTACTGGGCCGATTGCGCTGAAAGTTGGCATGTATAGGTAGGTACCCACTAGGCAATGCATATTCATGTGCTACAGTTGGGGTGCTGCTGCACGCGCGCACGTGCAGGGGTCGATTCCAGATCTCGAGAACGGCTGAACCGATTGTGCTGAAATTTGATAAATGGTTAGGGACCGGTTAGTAGGGTACCGTGCAATAGTCAGTTGGGACCCATTTTGCACGTGCGCACGTGCAGGGTGCCGCTTCCAGACCTGGGGCCGTATTCACGTCGACTTCGTAAGTCGATTTTCTTTCGTAAGTATAATTTGGTATTCACGTCGACACTTCTCAAGTTTTTATCGCCGGAGTTCACGTGAATAAAAAAATTTACTTAAGAAGTAGGTCAAACTTAAGAAAATTCTTACGAAAATGATCGACGTGAATACGGCCCCAGAGCTCGAGAACGGCTAGGCCGATTGCGCTCAAATTTGGCACATCGTTAGGGACCGGTTAGTAGGGTGCAGTGCACAAGTTAGTTGGAGGTACCTGGTACCCCTTTACAATTTCGCACGTGCAGGGCCCACCATCTCGCTCGCTCCGTTGGTCGCCCCAAAAGACGTTTTACTGGTTGTTATCCATACTCGAAATTTGCTTAGACCCTTCTGTCCAATGAGACCATTTCAGAGCCGGAAGGATGAAAGAATTAGTGGGAGACATTGGTCTGGGCAGCCACCCCAGTGAGCCACAATTGCCCACTGGCATTCACTGCACCTGGCAAAGGACTACATATAGCTCCAGTGGAGCCATTCCTGCATGGGATAGTTGCCCGTCCAGCCCGGAGCAGGGGGGTTGCGGCGTGGAGGAGAAGGATTTGACTGTCCTGAGGATGGAAGAGATAGAACGGTGCCGAATCTGAGAGGGTCCAGGAGGTTTACATACTCAGTAGGTATATGGGGTGTGGGCCTACATGCATTGGTCTGACCCCTGACACCTCGGCCAACAAAATCTCCAAATGGGCCTAATTTATTTCGTCAAACCAGCCAAGAGAGCATGACTTTAAACCAATCCGACATCGGAGTCAAAATCCGAACAATTTCGAAGACTTCAACTCCGACTCTAGCCAAAACTATCAACTCCGACTGATTCCGGCTCCGACCCCACAGTTCTGCAGTCACACGACACTAAATTTCCAGCTTCTAAGAAATAAGCTATACGGTTGAGAGGACAGCAAAACTTTGAGGCGACTTGACTACTTCACTTGGTGACCTGACCTAAGGTTTTCTGGTATCAAGCTTGTTACACGGGCTGCAAAATCCGTATTTTGGAGCAGTTTGCCTGATGTTTTTTTTTTTGCCAATTTTCGCGGCGCTTCGCGCCGATTCATGCACGACCCAAAAAGAGAGATTGTTACTATACAACGCCCCCTCCCCCACGCGGGTATGCAATATGCATTTCCTATGCAATATGCATTACCGATCAGATTAGTGGGATACATCAGCAATTATAGCCTGATAGAGCACTGGAGGTTTTGCCGTGTCAAATTGAATCGGACATCGGATGTGTATATAGGTAGGTACTTGGTGGGAAATCGGTCTATAGCCATACCTACTTCCCTCAAACCAGTTGTTTTGCCACAATTATGAGTTTTTATGCTTAAAATGGTCAGAAAATAACATAATGAATATTTGCAAAGAGGATTTTATTTTATTTTTACATAAGAACTGTTTTCCATCTTTCGTAGAGGCTACTTATATTGCAGCGGAAGCTGATTACGCGTTGACCAAGCATACTCGGATTACGTAGTTGAAACCAGCTGAATGCTGATTGGCTAGCATTTCTCCGTAAGGGAATGGATTCCTCGGTAATGGAATGACAAAGTGTAGTCTATGGGAATGACTTCAGTCTTCAAACCTAAAATCGATACCGATATCTTTGGCCAGGGTGATCGTTGGGCCATAAAAGCTCTTGATTTGTTAATTCTTGTCTCAGCTCAAGCTACACAACTGTTACTTCAGTTTAAAACCCTATGTTAAAAGTGGCATATTTGCTTTAAACGTTCAATACATTGGACCGAAAAAGCCACGGTAAAAATGTATATTTTTGGGTTTTCAGTCGGTCAGTCCGTCCCCCCCAGTCAAAAATCCGTGGCGGCGCCCCTGCCCGCGCCCCCTCCAACACCCGGTGCCGGCGCGCGCCGTGGAGCCGGGCCACCACTCCGCCCGGCACGTCTCCCAGTACAGGGTGACGCGGCGCCCTGCCCCGGGCTGCGCGACCGCACGCCTTCCACGGAGTGAGCAGATGCACCGCCACGGCCGCCGGCTGGCGTTCGTTCCGCGCTCCTGTCGCGGCGGCGCGTGGCTGGGTCGGATTACGCGCGGGAGCGCTGGTCCACCCACCCCAGTGTATGTGACCCGGTGCCGGTGGCCGCGGCGGCGACCTGCGGGACGCCGGTGTTTGTTGATCGGAACAGGCCCCGGGACCAGTTACATCAGCCCCGTGCAGTTACCACGCCTAACTCGGAGACGGCTCCTCTTTATCATGTCCGATTGCAGCATGTTTAGCGGTAATGTCGTCAGCTTTTTGTCGATGTTTGTGACCATCAAACCTTCATATTCGGCATGCCTGTTCACAACGCCCCTTCCCAGAAACCTCCCTGTCGATGTCGTTTTCTTCCAGAAACCCGTCTTCCGATAATGAATGAAACCCTCACAGTTGGAGTCGGGAGCCCAGTGGGCCATGTTTCCTGACGTGTCATCTCTGCAGCACTCCGGTGGACTGTGCTGCCGGTCACTGATGACGTGCTCTCTGTTACCCACAGGGTCGTCGCCCCGGCTGGACTGTCTGCTGGACATCTGGGACTCGCTCGTCCTGCGGAGCCGAGCGTGTCGCGCGGAGGAGCTGCGGACGGAGCCGGCGGCGGGGCCGGGGGAAGTGGTGCAGAGTGGCACGAGCAGAGGTGCGGAACTGTGTGCCGGTGACGTGTCGGCGGCGCCCGGCTCCCCCGGCAGTCGGCTGGACTCCCCCAGCCGCGGCGGGAGCAGCAGTCAGTGCGGCGACCCCTGTACCCCAGCGGTGGACAGTGTGGTGAGTACGGCGTCCTTCCAGATCTCTGCTCTCCCGGGGGACGCGGGACGCGGCCTCTCCGTCCGGGAGAACACCCGAACTGTGCGCCCGTCGGTGCTGCCCGCGGCGCCCACGTGCAGTGAAGTGAGCGCGGTAGCCGCATCGATGGCGATAGGCGACGCCGACCGCGCGGACTGGGAGATCTCTGTGACAGCCACAGCGAGGGTCACGCGCCGACCGGCCTCTCTGGCGGTCCCGCTGTCGGAACCCCTGTCCCGACCCTCCTGCTCGCCCTGCTGCCAGTCACGGTACTCCCCATCGTCAGAGCTCGGCTCCGCGCACCCGTCCAAGACTCTGGCGTCGCCGCTGTCCACGCTGTCAGCGCCCACCACGGACAGCGGCATCTGCGAGACGCCCTCGGAGGAGGCGTGCTCGTCGTTTGAGCTCTCCATCACGGGCGAGAGCAGCCTGTCGGCCGGTGGCGACAGCACCGGGGACGAGGCGGCGCGCGGCCTGTCGGAGCGACCGCGGCTGGCGGCGGGCCGCGAGCGGCGCGCGCCGCGCTGGAGGACCGCTGAGCTGAGGCAGCGGCCGCTCTCCGTGGTCAGCACGGCCTCCTCATCGTCCTCGTCTGGTGGCGGCTCGCTGCCGCGCTCCCTGGTGCGGCGGCGACCGGCGCGCGGCGCCAGAGATGTCACAGGTGAGCTGGGGAGAATCATAGGTGAACAGGGAGATATCACACTTCACAGGTGAACGGGGTGGATGTCATGGGTGAACGGGAGAGACAGCACAGGTGAACAGGGGAGATGTCACAGGTGAGGGGAGATAACGTTGGTGAACGTGGGGCCAGAGAAACAGAGCGGGGAGGCTGAGGACGGGGAGAGATGTCAAGAGGAAGGCATGAACGATCCTCTGCCATAGCGCTGCTGATGCATACCTACTGCTTCAGTTCCCTCGGCCTCCGCAGTGCCGGCCGTACCTATAAATAAATGTCACTACTCTGGGTATATGACACCGGCTCATTTATCAGTGTCGATTGTCGACACATTCCAACACACGCTATGTTCAGTGTCTCTCGCAGAGAGAAGCGCACACGACGACCGTCGCATACAGACGGCATCTCGGTGATGGTAAGCCGACTTTGGAGGTGGTCATGAACTGAAGCAAACTAAATGGAAAGCCGGACCAACCATCCGCCACATACGTGACCGCTGCGAGAATAATTGAAACGTTTTTATAAAATGACGTTTTATTTTATATGATATTATAACCTATAGGTATGTAAGTAATTTATGAGATATATGGAAAATGTTCGTTGTGAGTTTTCTTGTGCTCAAACATTCACCTGTATATAGCTCTTTTATAATTTATTGTATTGTATCTTTCATTTTGTGAGCTGTAGCATATAGGTATGGTTTCAGTTGATGTTTTATACGTAAATGTCAAATGCCCGGTGGGCTTGAACGGAATCGACGCACGGCGAACGGCACGGCAACGAATCTCTGGATTCGAACACAACATGGACGGTGGGCACGACCGATAAACTTGTCCGATAGACACATCCGATCGACACGTCCGATAGACACGTCTGTGAACACGATAGATGATCGTCATAGCCTAATTTCAACACGATAGCCTAATTTCAGACCTGTTACTGGGTGCTTCCTTCACTTGTCTATAGCGGCATTGCAACTTTATTTTCAAAGCCGTTATTCAATTCATTTTGACATTGTATCGCGTGTCATTACCGTTCAAAACCAGAGTCGGTCTTTTGTGACTGGGGGATTGTGACTGTGGCGGACCTGTGACTGTGTGACTGTGACTGTGTGACTGTGTGACGGTGACTGCTGCTGACCGGTGACTGCGCCGCTCCGCCGCAGACTCGGCCGGGGACCCTCTGGCGGTCGGCGGCGGCGGCGGCGGCCTGGCGCGCACCCAGTCCCTGCAGCTGGACGGCTGCGTCACCCAGGCCGACCGCGTGGTGGCCGAGATCCTTCACACGGAGGCCGCCTACGTCAGCGACCTGCGAGAGGTGCTGGAGGTGAGCCACCACAGAGCGATCACCAGGGGGTCACTGACGGGTCACCGATGGGTCACCAGGGTCACTGACGGGTCACAGACGGGTCACCGGTCACGGGCCAGAGTAGCGGCCGGGCCGGGACGACTGGATGTCAGGCGGCTTCTTTCAGCTCAAAACGACATAAAACACGGAATTCGAAATGTTTTGCTATGGAGGTTAGGAACGGTAGGACTTTGGGGTCTCACGCCAGGCTACGACTCCAGAGGTCATGGGCAGGCCTAACGGCTGCGCTACACTCTCTGGGATCACTCCGTACCATAAAATAAACACTATGGACAGGCTGTCCGAAACCGAGCGTCAGCCGGTGTTTGATCGGAGACGGTATTTACAAATAACTGCACTCGGTCTATGTAGCTGCCAGAGTGAAAAAACGCAAAACACTTTATCCTTTGGCCGGGCACGGTTACTGGTATATACGGTCGGCCTCCTCCGTTGACACTGGTAGGCATCTGCCAAATATCTGTACACATCTGCCATATCGGGTACCAGTACAGGTAACCAGTGGACAGCGCCTGAGCGCTGCTCAGTCGTCACTCGTCACCTCCGCGCTTACGGCGGGAACTTATTTTGTATGCCTAATGTGCAGACGTCTGTCCTTCGTTGTGACTGGTACCTGGAGATGTTTCTGCTCCAATTATCGTTGTCCATTATCCATGGGACAGCCGCTTTGTGTCCCAGACCGCCCTGGGACGGACCGCTGTCCTTGAAGGGTTGAACCGCCGCCGGCCACCTCGCGCCCGACTGCGAGTCGAAACCGATCGACCGGCGGCGCTGCGACCTTGAATGGTCGTCCCTCGTTGTGTCAGGCCTCTGTTCCATCTCACTGATCAGTGGTAAGGGACACTAGTTTCAGAGATGCAAATGTCTCCCCAAAATCAGACCCACCAGAAATCAGAACCAGCGCTAGAACTTTGTGATATATTCTACGCATTTGTCCCTGGATTCAATTTTGGAGTCACAGTTCTCCAGTCGCTCAGTCATTATGTTTCTTATCTATCTTAAACCGCTTTTGTTTGGGAGATAGAAATGATCTTGAAATGGAAGTTGGGCAGCCCATGAAATGCAGTGATTTATAGTGAATGACCTTTCCCGGCTATTTTCAGTGGTATTGTTCAGTTTCATTCGCAAATTGAGGAAGGATATTCACTAGTTTCTAAATTGTTGAAAGGGACAAAACTTATGAGTTCCGATTGTGAAAGTGTTATCTCTCCTTTAACCCTCGCCGGACCTATTGGTTTTCTACATACGCGCCGGCCGAGGGGGGGGGGGTACGACCCCCCCCGCCGTTTCGCCCCTGGTGGAGCTAGCGCGTCGCGGAAAAAACGAGCGTGTGCGCCGTTACGAGACGCAGAGATTGGTACCCGATTTTAAGGTCCTAGGTCAACCGGTGACCTCTGAGATCAGGTCAAGTGCCCCAAGGTACGGTTGCGTTTTTGGTGAATAACTTCGCAAAAAACGGCCGCAGAGCCGCGATTTGGGCACCATCGTGTTTGTCTCGCTCAGGCGCGTTGAATGATATACTTTTTGTTCGGGTCAGGTCAACTTAGGGTGTTGACCTCAGCACTGGCGGATCCAGGCTTGCTTTTTGGGGGGGGGGGGGGGCAACTCATGCAGGAGCCAAACCTAGGGTACCCCCAAACCCTGTTTTCTCATCGGATTTAGGCCACTTATTTTTCGTCACAGCCCTGACACTATGAATATTTTTTTTTTTTTAACCCGCGCCCCACTGGGGTCTGCGTTAGAGTTGCAAAATTTCCCTACCGCACTACCGGCATGCCGGTAATCTTTCACTACCGCAGGTTTTTTCGTGGTATTTGGCATGTCCTGCCGGTAGCATGCCGGCATTTTTGATTTTGCACCAAAAAAAAAAATCAGCATATGATTCAAACTTTGGACACTAAGAGGCTATTGAATTGTAATAACAGCAATCTTAGCCACTGCAAAATACATTTTGTGGTAGAAGTTCCATTGCTAAGGGTAATTGTACACATGAACATCAGCATTTCACAGGTTTGGCTCTAATAAGAATTGTCAAGAATCTACTGTGGTCTATCAAAGGAAGAATACTCATTCATGTTGCAAAAGCACAACCAATTAGTAAGTCTAATGGTAGGTAATAGGTATAATACCTACAATAAAATAAATTAATGTTAATGGCAACATTCCCTAGGCAAAAGGCAGAATCAAAACAACACAAAACACATTGCTTGGAAACTGGCCTTGAGTCCTGAGATGTGGTCTGAGATACTCTACAAAGACACTGAAAATCCAGCTGAAAAGGCAGGTGTTAGGTAGCCCTGAGCCTAACTTTGGTCCCAAAATGAAATGAAAATGAATTAAACTGGCATTTTGTCTTATCTTTACAAGAAAACACAACATGCAGACGAAATGAATAGAAAGTGGCGCAATATGATCAGCTGATCAAGCAACCAAGGATTGACTTTTAATGTCCCCTAAAAGAAGGATGTAAGCTGATGACGTAATATTTATTCATATCATATGCCATTTTGGTTGAATTACTCAAGAGAAGTGGATTTTCTTGTAGTGAATAACACTCACAGTGTTGATTGTATTGGAATTTAATATCGTGTTGGATGATTTTTATCAATAAAATCATTCACGAGGCAGTAGTTTGCAGTCCTAAAACTTTTTTTGCAGTGTTTTAATCAGCTGGTTAAAAACTGTGTTATGGCGCATCTGTTTCGAAATCCTTTACCTATAACCTTGTGTTTGTTCCCGCGTTTGAGATAGGAGAGGATATTATATCGTTTTTATACATATTATTTGGTGACTTCTCAGGACAAGTGAGTTATTAACACATATTTTTACATGATTCGTATCTTACTCACGAGCCTACAAGCCATGGCGGATAGGAAAAAGCAGATGTTGATCTGGCTTCCTCAGTTAGGAACATGGCCAAATCTGTAGTTTTTTTTTTTAATATTGTGATTTATGACTAGCTATAGTTCATTTTAGGGTAATGTGGAAAGTAAGAACGCTTGTGGTAAATGTGATTGCTGCTCACTGTGCAGTCTTCAGAAACACATTTCAGTAATTCAAGTTCTTTTTGACCTTGCTTTTTTGATGAATGTGTTAATGCTTTTTGTAGGCAATACCTCTTTGATTACAGGTGATATTTTATTTTTAACAGCTGTAAACTGGAATTGAGTTTCAAAATTGTGGTATTTGTGGGGCCAACTCAGCCAAAATCAGGCTGCTGGAGTTTTGGTTGGACAATGGGTGGCTGCTGGGTGGGGCGGTTACTGAAATTGCCAAAATGTGGCATCTCATGTAGGGGTAAGCCAGAATCAAGAATGCAGGTTTTTAGTATGCCGGTAATTTGGCGGTGTTTTTGCTTGGGGCGTGGTAGCATGCCGGTATCCCAGAAAATTTTTGTGGGGCGGGGCGGTGCCGGTAGCAGCCCATTGGGAAAACTTTGCAACTCTAGTCTGCGTATAACACGCCCTACTGGGGGGGGGGGGGGGGGGGCTATTCATAGCCCCCCCTCCTAACTCCGAAACTACTGGGCCGATCGTCAAAATTCAAACAGCATCTGATAGTCCCGGAAAAAACTGTCGAGCGAAACCTAATTTCATTGACCTCGAGGTCACCGATGACGTCACAGGTCAGGTCAAAGTAAAAATTATTAGCATTTTAGCTTCTTCACGTTTTCGGCTCTGGCCGCCGTCTTACAAGTCAGATCAGGCTCATTTTTTGTTCACACACTCGTGAACAGATGCTCTAGATACTCTGAGGGTACCAAACTTGTACTTTGATTTTCAGGCAAGGTCAGGTCATCACAGGTCACGAAAATATTATATCATCCGTCGGTCACGTGACACATGTTTTATGGTCCATTTAGGCCAAAAATTTTGAATTTGATGTCGTCTGTGTCATTCTAGGTCATTTGGAGTCAAATTTAGCTTAGGTCAGGTCACTTGCAGGTCAAAAAAGGTCAAATTTTGAAGTTTAAATTTTTCAACAAAAAAGGTGTCTATTGGGTGCAGTTTGAGCGCAGGAACACGATGGTGCTATTTATATTGGCGTACGATGTCAAATTCGTGCTGAAAAATTAATTTGAAAAATTAATCATTGTTAATTTTTTGCAATAATGCGTATAACTTGGCCATTTTTGAAGATATTTAGCTAAAACTTGCTAGAGTTAGTCATAATTATGCGTTCTATCACATTTATTATCATTAGAAATTTTCATAATTTCGGAAATCCGAGATAGCAGTTTGATAGCGCAGTCTATTCTGAGTCCTCTCATGCAAAGAAATTGGATCTAGCTTAAAAACTGAGCTCTTGGGAGCGATTGCCGTGGTTCAATGTTTTGCGTCGAAATCGGCCGAACATGACGTCACTCTGACGTCATTTCCGGCCGACCTATGGTAAGTACGAAGTTCAAATTTTGACACAAGGTGTCAAATTGATGCAGCCGAAGGTACTGAAAGTTTGGCGTCGATACGTCAAGCGGTTTGGAAGTTATTGCAGAAAAACGGGAGGGGGGCTATAAATAGCCCCCCCCCCAGTGGGGCGCGGGCTAACTAAAAAGAAAAGTATATAAATGGTAGCCCACCCGACCCATGCCTTTATATTACTTTGTAAACACTTACCATTGCTTTTGTCGACCAGTTAACCCGCTTCGAGTCAGTGCTTGGGTCCCTTTGCGGGCCGGGAGGTGGTAAAACACTCCCTGTCTAACTCGGCTCCTGGGCCACGCACTGATTGAACTATGTTTCATTATCGTTTGGGGGAGGGGGCAAATGGGCCACTTTAGGCCTCTGGGAAGGGGGCATGGCCCTAAATGCCCCCTCCCTGGATCCGCCAGTGTAAGAGACCATTGGAGCTGCAGTTGGGTACCTCAGACGTCAGGGTACGCCCTCAGATGTATAGGACTCGCATGGAGACCTCTTATGCTATAGTGGACTGAAAGGACCCAAAGGAGCCTGTCTAGGGCT